ACTTCACCACTTCTCAATGAAAGATAAAGGAAATGGCCGAAAATGGTCAAAATACAGTCCTAATAAAATCTTTTGTGAGAACAAAATAATCCCTCTCAAGGCCACCAGCATATACAATTATTTGAAGCTCTTACTAAGATTTATTGTGTTCTTTGAATGTCACAATATTCACACTGTTTTCTGGTACCCAAACTGTTTATATTTCAGGAGAAAAACAAGTCCAGCAGGAGGAAAAACGGTATCACACAACTCTTACACTGACAGAATTACGGTAGAAGCAAGCAGCAGTTTGAGACCTATTTCAAAATAAGACTTATATGTACAGAAGAAGGGATACAGTATGATAAAAGTAAAATAAAACAAAATGTTTATCACTCCAATGATCATGATACTATTGAAGTCTGATTTCTTCTTATTTTGCCAGCTTCGTTCCTACTTCATTCATACTTATCCTGAAACTACTAATTCATAATAATTGACACCATCTCCTGAGAAAGATTACATGTAGTTCTACATTTGGATTTGGTCTTCACATTCAATATCTCTATCAGATATGAATTATGAATAAAAATAAAGCTGCAGTAGAAACTTTATGATGAATTAAATCACTGTATTAAAAATAAAAGCATTGACGCATTTCTAAAGCTCAGGTTATTATGCCAATAACTTATCTTTGCATTTTCTGGAATGCTCATTTGAAACAAATTAAATTCATAGCCAGAGAGTTATGTCTGTTTCAGATTTATGAAAGATATTATGATGCAATAAATAACAGCAGCTACTGAGTATGTTAGTGTTTTGCTCACTCTTACTCATGTAGTTATGGAATTATAATTTAGAGTGTTCTGTGATCAAGATGGCTATTGAAAAGCTCATTCTCCCTTTTCATGGTATAACACTTGGACTAAGATAAAAAGTTCTGGTCTGTTCACTCTAAGCTGTTTTATGAAATCCGTAAAACCTCCTCAGTGATGGGAGCCGGCTTGCCAAAATGTCAGCAACAGGCAGCCTTCCACTGCTTCCAGGCAGCTACCTACCACTCCCTCCTAAAAGAGATCTTTTGGGATCCAAGAAAAACAAATCTGTCAGCATGTAAACTGGTATAATTTTTAGCTGAAGAATTCAATGCTATGTAGCCCAATGTCATTGCTGAAACCTAGGGCATTACTAGGATGCTACACTTATGTATGCCTCTGCTCTAATCATCAAGGAGAACATCCTAATACAGATTGTAATATACACTGAAAAAAGCACAATACAAAATACAACAACCATCCACGTGTCCAACTTTCAGTCATTCTTATTAGGTCTTCCACTGGTATCAAACCTCATGTTCGACATCATTTTACTAACAAAATTATTTTGAATATGAGCTCCGATATTTAAACAAGCAGTTAAAGACATTACTCTTCAGAAAAAGTACCAGGAGTTGTTTTACTGATGTGATGAGATTAAGATCAAAATTTTCCTCTTAACATAGATTACTAATGCATGCTCAGAGGTGAAACAGTAGTGGCTATATTTCTCCTGCTCAAATCATTGCCTGGATAGAATAGACTAGAAACATCATTACCTATATCTTTCAATGCAGAAAAGATGGTACGAATAAGTTTCACCATACAGAGACAGCAGTTCTATGAAATAATGCATTTTTTACCATACAGAGAAACAAACTCTGCCTGCACAAGGATGCCTGAATTCTTATAATTCATCTACTTTTCATAAATTTAGCAGCATAAATGACTGTTGGACTGGGTAACAAGTAAGTCTGGAGATTTTACAATGCAAAAGCAGCAGCAAATTTTGCATGAAAGTAACAGAACGAAATAATTCTATTTTCTATCACAAAAGTGTAAAGATCTGTTTCTGGGCAAACAATTATTAAGTCTACAAACACATCAACTGCAAAACAAATGAAACGTTCTAAATTAAATAATTTGTCTTTTAAGAAACTGATTATTAGCTAGACTTCCCACAACTACTTCACTAAACTAAATATTTTGTTCCTATACTTTCTGTTGATTTTCTAGTTCAATTGTTTTCAGGATAAGGAAATGAGATAGATAGGAAAGTGGAAAACACATTAGAGACATGATTAGAGACATTAGAGACACTAGAAATACCATTTTATATTGCATTGAAACAGGCTGATTTTAGAGTTGAGAGAACAGAAGCAAAAAAAAAAAAGCTTGCAAACTAACTAAACTGTTAAAATAGTTAACATATGATATAGCCTACATGCTGTAAATTGAAATCTGCTTAAATGACATAAGGTATGCAAAGTGTTTAAATGATGAAGAATAGCTTTAATATTACACTAAAGGTTCTACTTGGGAGTTCAACCCTGGCTCAGGCCCAAGCCCTTTCACACATCTTTAGCAAATCCTTAATGCCTATAGACTAGAAGACATATGTATACAGCGCAGATGGATTTTGAAATGAATGGATAACTTTATAATATGACTATTATTTGCAGGTTTGGAACATGTGAAAAACGAGGCCTTGTGCTCAAGTGAAAATGACACCTCATTTCCACTTTTATTTGATGAAATGTCAGGACAGAATCAAAGGCAGGTCATCATCCAAACTTTTTCTGAAATACCAGCCCTTGCTGACTGCAGGACATAAGGTTCAACAATCCAATCAATTTGAGTTGATATGCTGGTTCCTGCTTTATATTCAAAGAAAACTCACATGTACATAAGCAACTGTTTGCAAAAAGAGAAAGCACAGTATCAAAGCTGAGAATTTGCTAATGCTTCTGAGATACATGTACCAATGTATCTTTGCACTGTCAAATCTTTATAACAAAGTAGAAAAATAGTAATAACCACAGTGAGACCTTTTTCAACATTTTCTGATGAACCGTCTGAATATGTTTACAAGTGTTTTTCTCAAACATGCCTCTAATAACATGGAGAATCAAACTGTGAAAGCCCTACTAGGTGATTTGAAAAACATATACTCTCCAGTCTACAAGAATTTTTTAATATAAATCTTAGCTAAATTATTAAGATAAATATTGTTACTTTCAGAACTTTAAAAGATAGAACAAAAGAAATAGAAAAAAAAAAAAAGTTGTTTATATATTAGTTAGAAAATACTGTTGGTTCCAGAGACACAAAGGTGCAAAAGAGCTTGGACACCCAGTTACATTCTTGCAGGGGCAATTGATCTTCTGAGGTTGTGTTTAAGGCACACTGGCATGTGTGTATCTGCTTTGTCATTAACCATGTTTCTACTACTTTTTATGTCTGCCATTCTAAGTATTACCTGAGAACAATAAAGCAAGTGTTTTAAGAAATAATGTTTTAAGGCTTTATCCTTATAACAGCTACACAGAATACTGTAAGTCCAAATGTTGCCAATATTACTGGACTAGACTTGGAGTAGAATGTCAGGCCACACTAAAGGAATGCAAAGATATATGGCAACCTAAAATAGTCCAAAAATAACTTTTTATTTACCTGTAGCCCTCAAGTAATATGACTGAAAAGTTTAAAAATAAATTAACTATAAGTGAACCTAAGGGAGGACTTTCAGGTTCACACTTAGCATCTTGGTTATTGAGGACTTCATCGTTTTCATGTCCACATGGAGTGACACAGAATATCAGAACCTGACCGGAAAACTGATTGAAAAGAGGGCTCAAAAGAAGAAAGTAAGTTTCTAGCTACTTTCAGAATGATAAAACCACATAATGTGCAATCCAATCAAATTCATGTCTTATCTCAAAACATACTACTTTCTCACCTGAGACATGTCCATCTAAAACTCATTATCCAAACAGGATGTGAATCAATTACATTTACTTATTGATTAACCAAAGACAATGCTTCATCTTTGTGGCAGATTCCCTGTGCCAACCATCTGTACCACGTAATTCTTTTTTCAATGAACAGTATTTGATATGCTCACATATTAAATTTTACAAAACAGCTAAATAAGAATAAAGCATGAATAACAATACGTTCGATTTACCATAAGAGATAAAAAATTTTATCAGTTACCTGTGGACAAATAGTACTCATCTGCTCGTGAAGGCATGGCATATGTTAAAATGGTATTGAGTGTGTTAGCTGTCCTAGATGAATACATTATTTATGAATTCACCTCTAACTTGTTTGCAAACAATGTGAATTATTAAACTACTTAAGAAACAATTAAAAAATATATTTTTAAATACATCAGCATAAGAATTTTTATTTTGTTCACACTTACTAAAGAATTGCTCCAGAAAGGTACCGTTTCACTAAAGCTACTCACATGCACAAAGATGGAGCTATTTGTCATTTCTTGAACCAAGGTTTCAGTTCACTTAATCACATTCAATTTTTTTAACAAAAGAAATAACCACTATGATTTATTAAAATGCTAAATAAAGCCCAGATATCTGAAGTGTATCATATAAAAAAATCTCTAAAATATAATCACAATACGTTTTGTGTTTACAATCTGATATTGGAGCTAGAAGCATAATTAATGAAATTTCATTTTAGTTGCACGTAAGATTTCTCTGCTAGGCTGGAAGATTTAAAAAAAAGAAAAAATAAATTGTGTTTATTGGTGTTTAAGGACACTGTGCAATTAATAATTGTTGCACAAAAATTCTCTCAGTATCTGCAGCTCTGGTTTAGATTTCTTTTTTGTTAAAAGTCAGTACTTTTAAATCTTCCAGAGTAAAAATATTATTTCCTGGTATTTTTGTATGAATTATGCTGAAAAATTATTTTTTTTTCCAATTCATTCAGATTCAAGGCCCAGCAACTGATTTTATACTCTGGGTTTGTTGGACTATTCAACAGACCATTCACATCAGCTTGTAAAAGCCATCAGTGCTTTGAGAAGGCTATAAATTTTAATCCCTGCATTTGTGGATGAAGAATTAGCACAATATGGCTGATACTGAAAACTTTCCTGTTCTGGCACATATTTGAATGATATGCTGTACATCATATTGTAAAAATCCAATAACTGCTCAGTTAATTAATTACACTAACCTGTTTCTCTGGAAAGGAAAGGTAGTCTGTGAAGTGAAGAGTTGAAATCTTTTGCCTCTTTCAGAATAAAACAGCTTGATGGGCTCTGACTTTCTTCCAAGTTTACAGTCTCGGAGCAGTCTCTTTCTATAGAACCAGCAGAGGCAGCCTTAAGCTGGAAAAGAGCATCTTGTGCTTTCTTTTTTTCCTTTTTTAGCATATTTACCAGAATATCTGCAAGATACATTAAGGAAATCATCAAGGACCTTTTTTTTTTTTTTTTTTAATAAAGCAACAACCATCTTTGTTTATGCCTAAATCCCTTTTTTCCAAGTGGAACAATTCAGATTATGGAAGCCTTTATGTGAATGTGAACTTGGAGTTGGGCATATTCTTTGCAATTATATTCATCCACCTTAGTTTTTGCAAACTGCAGTAACAAATTCACAGACTGACCACAATATTGATCCCCTTCAATCAACACCTGATGAAAGCATTTACAGACAAACAGGAATGCAAACTCTAGTATCTTATTGCCATTGTGTGACACTCCATTTTTTAATTTTAAATTCTGTAATAAACAAAATTTCAAAAAAAACCCCAAACAAACAACAAAAAAACCCACCTTAACTTATGGGTAGCCTGGAAAGTGCATCACAGCTATAAGCTTTTCACAATAAGGTTTACTAAAATGCAGAACAGGTCTTTAGGAAATTTCTTCCAATAACATTGTGTATTTACTGGAAGTATATTTGGTATAGAGGGCTTACAATGAAAATCCTGTCCCTGTGATGGTTTTTGATATGCTGTTCATTTTAATCCTAATTAATCTTCTAAATAAACAGCAAAAAATTTAAGTAGTCTTTGGAAAATATTAACTGGACTAGGTAGCAATAATAAAAGACTTTACAATTCAGTTGTTACGATAGCTCCTAGCTACCACAGACAAGGAGGACCTCATAGTTTATTTACTAAACAGCTTCCATACTTCCCACCACTTCATCACATTAGACATGTTATTAATTTTCTAATGATGATATACTGTCACTTAGTGGCTGCAGACTCCGTAAATCACTGTTGTGTTCAAAGCCGTAATTCTTATACTCTTTCTATAGCAATCTAACATGGATTTATACAGGTTTCTTCCTTGTACTTCTGCAAGCAAAGCTTTAAATATATCTATCAAGCACAAGTGCATTTGATAGAGACATTTTGCTCTTTTTCATTATCAGTCTCATACTAATAAAATATTTTATTTCAGGAAGAAGTGTTTCTGGGAATCTGGACCTTAAAATTGACATGAAAACTGAAGAATTTTTTAAAAGGAATGATAAGTCAGTGTTACAGCTAAATTTATTTGAAATGCACATCATCTCTTCTTTGACAGAGCAGAAATAGAGAAGCTTTCCTGCCACCTCAATTCAGACTGGTAGCATGCTATAGCCTGATGTAAAATGCCATTCTCATTTGATATATAAAATTGATCTGGTGTTGTTGACAACAAAGGATGCAACTGACTTTGCTTTTCTACTAGTAACTGTGAAAGAATCTTTGTCACTTATAAACTCAAAGCCAAAACAAAACCATTTTTTCAATTCTCTGCCATATTCAAATTTTACTTACCAAGTAGCCACAAAGGTAGGGAAACAGTGATGCTACAGTCTGCCCACGGTTCTGTCAACCTGCTAAAAGTTAACTCCCACCCATCGTGCAACAGTGCAACTACTCACGTGTTTCCTATGAGGCACTGAAATGGACAAAGCATGTCTGAGCAGTCTAGTATTTTTATATGCAAAAAGCTTTAGCTTTAATTTAAATTTTAAAATTGCATGTAAAGAGTACAAGTTTTATATGTATTCTGAAGGCAAATAGCCCAGTACTCCCCAAAGCAACACTTCATTTGGCTAAAAATATCACCTACAGGAAATTCTATTTTTTGTAAGGTAATAAATTGATCTTTATATAGCAACAGTTTCTCATCCTAAAAAATGGTTTCATTTGCTTGAGGAGAGTATTTTAGGTGTGGCCTGATCCACAGTATTTTGATCTTGGCTGGACCCTTCTAAAGCTAATAGTGCTCGGATCCAGGAGGTCAAAACTGAAATAGAAGCAGGTGCAAAGCACGAGCCCTGCCACATAAAAGTTGGGAATTGAGTAACTGCTTTGACACAGTGGGATTAGTAGAGAGAATTTCCTTCCATACAGCTAATGCCTATCTCACACACACAAAAACCATTGTAGCCAGATCAACTCAAACCCAAATATCTTTTTTTTTTTCCTCAGAAAGGATACTGATTTCATTGTCTCTTTGCCACAATAATTCTTTCAGTTTTTTCAATTCTTCTTCTCCTGCTTCTTTGTTAGTGTCTTTTTCTTCAGAGATGTGTTGTGATTGCAGTTTTTTATCAGAAATCTTTGAATGATTCATTAGTTCCTATTAGGAGAAACAAAAAGAGCACACTCATGTATTTATTCTACTCTGAGACTGCCTAGTATGGTAGAAAAGATAAGGGCTTTCTAGACTCTTGATAGAACAAAATCCTGCCACCAGTTGACTGTTAAGTTATATGTGTTGTGTAAAGTATGGGAAAAGTTGTATTTGTCAATCTTCGCTACCAAGCATATGATTTACTTTACTCTTTCTACACATGAATTCCAGTGTTCGCTAGTATCACAGAGCTTTCAGTATTAATAATATAATTAAAACCTAATTACTTAAAGACAATAAATTAAGATTAGGAATGCATACATTGTTATATTAGAAAACTATATCCCAAAATACAGAAAAGTATATATTATCTTCTGTTGCTGTCCCTATCAATTTCACTTGTTCTTCCCAGTTAACACGTATCTTGTCTGCTCAAGGATTTAGAAGGGCTTACAACATCCTTGGGAAAGTTAGTGTAACAGATTTGGTGATACCATGTCTTTGGTCTTTATTTTAATCTTTCAACATCATTTGTCCAAAATATAGCCTCCATACTGCTGGGAATACTGATGGATACATCTATCCATATACAAATAACTTGTCTGTGTTGATTCCAATAACTTTCAGTGTTCTCTTACTATTTACCACATCTTGAAATTCTTGCTTGGGTTTCCACAAAATGTTGCTGATTTTTTTCCACCTAAATTTCAAGTTTCTATCAGTCCTCCATGCACTTCACATTTCAATTGTTTTACCCTTTTCCAATGCCTCTCAACTATACTGCACTTCTTTTGACACTTTTGAACCATTAATATCTTCAAGTTATTTTCAGTGCCAGCTGCACTTCCATCTGTTTTAAAAAGAAATACCTTCATATGAATGAAGCAATACTTGATCTTGCGCATGTCAGCACCAACATCCAGAGGGCTATCAGGATCGTTATCTTTGAGAAATGTTTCAATTAACTCATCCAACCTGAAAATACATAACATTTTTAAGGGGAAAAAAAAAAAAGGCACAAACAAACATACAATTCTGGAAAGTAATGCATCAAATACAATACAAGGTACAATACAATACCAAGCTGACAATATTGATAGACTATTTTCCTTCAAGGTGCGTGCAATTGCAATGTACTTTTGTCCCTGTTGCTAAATCCTGGGTTTGATACTGGAGATTCTAAGACTCCACATCAGAACATACTGCACATGCTAAGGGATAGTTCTAGAACTAAAGCATTTAAGAAGTAATCTCTTATTTTTCTCATTTATTTTATAACCTTCTGCTCTTCTATCATCTCATAATTGAAAAGATCTAAAGCTTGCCCTCTCAGAAGACTAGATTTTTTAGAAGCTTTGGGCATAGGATTTTTTAAGATATATGATTATTTGAGCGAAAGAAAAATCTAATTCCATTTCTATTACAAGTCAGCAGATAGCATAGCTTTTATACATAAAATTACCTGCTGAAATCACCAAGCAAAGCAACATATTTTTTGATACAGATTCTCCAAGATCTATTGCTCTGCTTTCCGATGAATGAAATTTGGTTAATCTTTTATTCTCTTGTAATTTGTTCTTATTTAACAAACATCTGACATCCCCAGGCAAGGAGCAGTTCTTATTTTGGTAATTCAGTCTTCATAGGAAAATCTGGCACGCAGAAGAATCCTCTTGTTTTTTCAAAACCAAATTAAAATATTCAGACTGGAAATCTACACAGGTATAATATACTATGCCTCTGGGCTGGATGTCACAGCTATACGGATAGAGTCAGCTTTCTTCTTGCACGCTCTCACCAGCTTTTCAGGTCTTGCAGTCCAGGATGGATGACAGATCATCCTCAAGACAGAGGCCAGATTATTTCTAAACCAAAACTAGTCCTTATCCCGCTTACTAAGGTATGTTTCTGGAAAACAGCAAGTGAAGTTTGAACTTCAAATTGTCTTATATTGAAGGCTTCCTGGTTCCTGATAAATGCTATTACCATTAAGTTAGTGGGCAACAATGACAGTCATATGCCCTGTAAAGTGTAATTCTATGATTTTAGATGTTTATTTAGGTTATTATCCTCAGAAGATGAACTTAGGTTCAAACTTGAGTGAGCCAAGATATCCAAGGTACTTGCATCAACTGCCAGAGAGGGGCAGGGGTTCAGAACCATCTCTGTGCCTAGTAGTGCTTTCAGGCTAGTTTTGTTCAGCTCCTCACTTAATATGCAATTCTTCTGAATGTCACTTAATAGCAATTTATCCTTTTCAATTACAGGACTGGGAATCTTGTTGCCATTTGATTATCTGAATCACTTTGCTGTAACCACATACCAAAATTTTAGGCATTGTTGTAACACAGTATCTAAAGTTGACCCTAAAGTAGGTGGCTAAGATAATTGCCCTGCTTTTGAAGACTTGTCTTACTGAGATTCCTCACATTACTATACTGCAGTAACAATTCCCTGCTGGAGGGTGAAACAACAAGATGCACAACAAACAGAACAAAAATTTATCATTATTTTCAGGAGATAAATATCTGAAAATCAGGAGCTGTAAGACTGGAATGCGAACTGGAAGACATAACAGATAGGTTTGGTTATTTATCTCTTTCAAAGTTCACTGTGGGTGTCAATTCTCAGAACAGGAGAAAAAAGGACAGAAAAGAAGACAGCAGCCCTCAGTTAATTTTAGACAAACTGTGCTTTCCAATTGTCATTATTTCAGTTAAAGAACAGGAGACAGATGTCCTGCCTAGACCATTCATCATATCTGCAAAATTCACACTTTCTGAATTTATAGAACATAGCCTGAAGTCAATGTGAGCTGTACATGTGGCGAGCTTAAGGAAGAGGATATTTGAAGAGAAACATTAGTTACGGAAGCGTTACTGACATTGACTTGCTTCTCAAGTTAAGAGAGTACAAAAATTACTGGGTAAAAAAGACCAAAATTTTACTTATTGCTACATGATTTTTTCTGCATGAAGAGTTGAACAGAACAGAGGCCAGCAGTACAAGAGGTTATTCATCCTGAGACACACTAAGCACAATGTGCAGGAGAATTAATCCTTCATATGTGGAAGCAGTCACAAAGAAAGTCAGCATTTGTCACTATCTTAAATGCCTTATTGATTTCAGTAAGAAGAAACAAATAAAAATAGATGGACTAGAGGGACTATAAGAAGTCATCTATGAAAAAGGGGCTTTAATCTTGAAGTAGAAATTAGAAAGGAATAGGCTGCCCAGGGAAGTGGTTGAGGCACCAACCCTGGAGGCGTTCAAAAGACGGGTTGACATGGTCCTCAGGAATATGGTTTAGTGACTTTTTTATTGCTTATTTCTTATTTATTTTTTTGTCAGAGTTAGGTTGATGGTTGGACTAGATGATCTTTAAGCTCCCTTCCAACCTAGACTATTCTATGATTCTATGATTTTAACCTCTCTTAACCTAACTAAGATTACCTATTGCCAGGGACTTACCCATACTCAGATTACCATAGGTTTAGGGTACAGGGATCAATCAAAAAAAAAAAAAAGAAAAAATTACACTAACTTGTACCGTTACCAGAAATCAACTGCAGAAAGTTAAATTTTTCAAGAGAATGAAAATTAATATATAATTCTCCTAAAATAATGCTCTATTTTTGAAAATTATTATTTGCCAATAGAAAGTGAAGGTTAATTTGTCAAGAGTAACAAATTAGACAAGCTGTAGTTATAGATATGAGCTACTATTTCCTCTTGCTTACATTACCTTTAATGTGTTTGGCATTCTTGAAAAAACACAGCAGCCCAATCAATTTTTGGTATCCCAAGGACTACACAGAAGCCAAAGAAAATTTAAGCACAAGATGACTGAGTCAAGTCTGAAATAGCAGAATGTAAATCAGAAGTTATAAACCAATTCAGCCTCTTTGCCAATTCCAGGAAACAGAATAATCTTCAGTGTATTTTAAGACACAATTTAAAAATTTCCTCTTTAGGAATTAGGACAAGAACAGACCAAGCTAGTCTAAACACTATGAACAAAAACAAAAGAAAAAAAAAAAAAGAAGAGCAACAATGAAAATCCCCATGAATACCAGCAAATGAAATCACTGCATCCCTCACATTTTTTTAAGTTTCCATATAAAAAGTACCAGAACTCCTTCTAAAATAAACACACAGTCTAATAACACTCTGGATATTCTGGGAGTTCATCCAGTATACTGGAGTATTAAACAAAGGTGAAAAATTAACTGACAATATGATACAGATGCAACTTGAAGTTTCTCTTTTTAATGAACAGATCTTAGCTAACTGAACCTTTCCCTCCCCCCTGAGTGATATATTAGCTTGAGGATTGTGATAACAATTGAAACATTCTCCTATGAATTTATACAATGGCAAGATTTGCACTTTTACAAATGAAAAAAACCAATGCTACTTCCAATTCTTTTCCAGAGATGTTCACAGAATAAATCAAGGAGAAAATAAAGAATCACAGGATGAGTGAAAAACAAACCACCCCAAAATAGAGAATAAGAGAAAAAAAGGAATACTGACTATGCTTTTACTTTTTCCTAACCTATCAGGCTAGGTAGATCTGCTTGCAGGTGACTCTGAAACAAAGGACAATATAATTCTACAAGATTAATATGTTTTTCCTTCTCATATTCCTGACTCAAATAGCTTATTATATTTGTCTTTATAAATATCCACAAAAATAAAATTAAATATATGGAATATATGAAAACTAGAGCACAGAATTATATAAAATAAGGTTGTAAAAGATTTAAGAAATTCATACAGGGCATCTACAGTTGCAACTCCAAGACATTCTTTCTTGTCAGAATATCACACACAGGCTGTAATCTTCCTCCTATTAAGAGGCAGAGCAAGAAAACCCTTTTTGTAAGTAAAGGCGAGACAAAATGGCTTTAAGTTTTCATTCAGTTACCTTCAAGAGATGGATAATACCTTTCTCCTTAGCAATAATATCTTCTGAGATAGTCAACTAATTGCTGATCCTTAGTTATTTACCAGAGGCTTGCATATTAAAAGTTTTCCTCCAGTCAAAGACTGTTGCAGGAATATACGTCAACAAGATCAAACCAGAAAAACATAAAATGGCCCAGCATTGAACAAATTTGGGCCTAAATGTTTAAAAGGAACAAGAAACACAAAGAGAACAAAAAATCCAGAGAATTTCCTAGCAAATCTTGCTTTAGTTGCCTACTCAGAGGCATGCATATGTAGCACAGCAAAGTTAATGAGATTATGAGGTAAAATAACAGTATCCTCTTTCTTAGGGACTTTTTTCACTTCAGCTTCATTAGAATAACTAAAAACGCATAGGAAACAAAGTATTTTTCATCAGTAGTTGTGGCTCAGCCCTGAGACCATATATTAGACTTCTCTTAGTCAGTATGTTCTATTTCCTGAAAAGTTAACTATAATTTCTTTTCAAAAAGACATGAGCAATCGATCCTTACATTTACTGATTACCAGCTTCTGCTATTATGCCAAGGATAATGGTTAATATTTGCATGCTTTCTCAAAACACAAATTAGGAAATTAAGTTGCCCAAAGAAGAGAGTTTTGAAAATGAACTTGCAAAAGGAATGAGCATGCTTGGCACAGAATACATAACATACTTGAAAAATTCCTGTTTCAAAGCTTATCTTTACCCAAAGCATCTCAGGCTGAACGTGCATTTCCCCACTACACCTACTGCCACAAGTAAATAGGAAAATAAGCTAGAAAAATCAAAGGTATTCATGTACATAGGCTTTATGGCATGGCTGAGGGTGCTTATGATGAAAACCAGATAGAATCAAGCAGAAAAAAAATGAATCAACTAAGAAACATACAACCCCCCCTTCCATAGCATTTATGAACACTGATACTTTCAGTATGAGATTTTTTTTATTTTCTTGATGTTATTTACAAAGACTAGCAGTACAGTGTTGGACTTCATTGCTTTTATATGAGACCAATTAAGA